AAACTATTAGAATGTAGTTAACTATATCAAAATTGACCTGCTGAAATGTAAATGCTAAGAGGTCATCACACTGTCCTTTGGGCCAGGAGACCACTTTTAGTGTTGTCAATGAAAAGAGCACTGACTCTACAGTGAGAAAATGTGGTTCAGTTTTTAGCTCCACCGTTTATTTCCCAGACATGACACTTTGGGTAAGTCTTTACATCTCTCTGAGCCTCAGTTTCCTTCAAAATCTATACAATTTATCTGTTACTGCATAACAATTTACCCCAAACCTTAGCTGCTGAAAACAGCAACAAACATTTATTAGCTTACACAGTTTCTGTGGGTCAGGAATTCAGACACAGCTTACCTGGGTGGTTCTGGCTCCGAGCCTCGCATGAGCTATTGAGCTGTTGCCCATGGCAGCGTTCATCTTAAGGCTCCACTGGCCCTGAGGAATCCAGTTCTAAGATTATGTACTTATGGTTTGCAAATTAATATTGGCTATGGGACCACCCACCATGTGGACTCTCCATAGGGCTGTGCGAGCTTTCTCACAACATGGAAGCTGGCTTCCTTTAGAGCAATACACATGAAATAAGTTTTAAAATGATAATACTCTAATATTATTAAAAGTGCTTCATCCAAATTTCATACATGGCCAGGAATGGCCGGTAATGGGCTAGTCAACCCATCTGTGAATGCATATGACCCTATATATGTGTTTTTAAATTAACTCTCATTTTTATCAAAAGTATACATGTACATGATCTAAAAAAATCAAACAGTGCTATCAGGTTTATAGAAAAAAAAATTCAGTGGCATACCCTATTCCCATACTTCTCAGAAACAACTACTTTCAACTCTTTGAGCATTTTAACTCAACCTATGCAAATAACACATGTGAACTTCTATTTCTTAAATTTACAATTTTAGGCATAATTTATTGGCTCCCTAATATTAAAGGTAAAGGTTTAGCTCTCTTACACCCCTTCCCCAATTCCCAAAAGAATGTATTACAATTTGAGTTAAAATCAATATTTCGTATGTATATAATAATATTGATGTAAATTTGGGTCTTAGCTAAGTTGTATAATATATTGTGTAAATTTTTAATGATGATATGCATTTTATTCAGGAAGCAGACTAAGAGCTACAAAGGTTTCTCAATGTTATGTTATGTAGAGAAATTAATCCCTTGTCCAAGGCTTAGTTAACAAGAAATCAGGTTGAAACATTTGCTTATTCTATCCTTAGCAAGGTAGTTTGCTAATGTTTTATTTTTTAATTGTGCTAAAATATACGTAACGAAACTTACCCGCTTCACTATTCTTAGGTGGGCAGTTCAGTGGCGTTAAGTACATTCACACTGATGTGCGGTCATCACCACCATGCATCTCCAGAATTTTTTCGTCTTCCCCACCTGAAACTCTGTATTCATTAAACACTAACCCTCCATTATCTGTTCCCTCTAGCCCCTAGCAATCCCCATTCTACTTTCTGTCTCCACAAATTTGACTACTCTAGGTACGTCATACAATATTTGTCTTTTTGTGGCTGGTTTATTTCATTTAGCATAGTGTTTCCGCAATTAATCCATGCTGTATGATCAAAACTAACTTCCCTTTTAAGGCTGAATAATATTACACTGTGTATGTATACACAACCCACATTTTATCTATTCAACCAAGATAGACATTTGGGTTGCTTCCAACTTTTGGCTATTGTGAAAACGCTACTATGAACATGAGTGTGCAAATAATCTCTTTGAGTCTCTGCTTTCAATTCTTTTGGATATATACACAGAAGTGGAATTGATGTAGCAAATGGTAATTCAATGTTTAATTTTGGGGCAACTGCCATACTGTTTTCCACATTGGCTGCACTATTTTACATTTCTACCAATAGTACACAAGTTTTCCAATTTATCCATATTGTCACCAACACTTGTTATTTTCTGGTTTTGTCTTGTGTTGGTTTTTTTTTTTCATAATAGCCATCCTAATGCATGTGAAGTGATATCTCATTGTGGTTTTGACTTGCATTTCCCTTTTGATTTGTGATACTGAGCATCTGTTCGTGTTCTTATTGGCCATTTGTATATCTTCTTTTGGAGAACTGTCTATTCAAGTCCTTTGCCTATTTTTTAATCAGGTTGTTCTTTTTTCCTTGTTGAGTTGTAGAAGTTCTTTTTATATCCTGAATATTAATCTCTTTTTTAATATATTATTTGCAAATATTTTATCCCATTCCATAGGTTGCCTTTTCACTCTGTTGGCAGTGTATTTTGATGCATAAAATTTCTTTAATTTTAATGTAGTCCCATTTATCTATTTTTGTCTGTGCTTTTGGTGTCACATCCAAGAAATCATTGCCAAATCCAATGTCATCAAGCTTTTTCCCTATGTTTTCTTCTAAGAGTTTCATAGTTTTAGCTCTTCATTTAGGTCCTTAATCCATTTTGAGTTAATTTTTATATGGTTCAAGATAAGGGTCCAACTTCATTCTTTCGCATATGGATATCCAGTCCTCCCAAGAATACTTGTTGGAAAGACTGTCTTCTCTTCATTGAATGGTTTCAACATTCTTGTCAAAAATCATCTGACTATATATATGGAGTTTATTTCTAAGCGTGCATTATGTAATTTCTTGTACAATTTTTTCCCTTGGAGTTAATAACTGCCTCATACTTTCATTTGCTTCATTATCTATGTACTTATCACTAACTCACAGCCTAAAACTGTCCCAAGGTATATAACATTCCTCTCATTATAGTTTTTAAAACCTGGAAATATATCAGTTTGATAGATTTTCTTGATTGTTTCTTGGAAGACATTGCTCTTAGATCCCTCTGCCTTCCTGGTCCTCCTTATAGGCTTCTGCACAGTTGTTATCTGAAAATATCCCATCACTATCATCCTGGAAAGCCGTATTGCTCCATCTGGGGTAGGTCCCCCATTCCCAGGATTCCAAATGTTCCCTCTCTCTTTTACTTGCTTGTATTGGTGAAATGCATCGTTCAGCAGCTTCCTGAAACTATTATATCATCCTCACACTTTAGTTTTAATATGAATGAGTGTAGAATTCTATGTTTGAAATACATTGCCTCAAAGTTTTAAAGGCTTGGCTCCACTGTCTTCCAGTCTCCAGTGTAACTGTTACAAAATCTCATTTTAGGCAATACAACATCATTAAAGGATTTTAAATGGGAAATTTCATCGTTGTAGCTTTTTAATATAGGTCACATTGACTGCTGTGCAAGGGATGAAACCCAGAAGTACAGAAAGCAGTTGGGAGACTAGCAGTAGTCCAAGGCAGAGGTAACAAAATTTGAACTAAGGCGGAAGCCACAGACATGGAAAGAAAGAATGGAATTCAAGAAATATTTAGGAAGGAATATGAGTAGGATTACTATTGGTAGGGTTTAAGATGATTCTCATTGTCTTGGCAAAAATAGATAAAGCACCTAACTTTGGAACTACCTTCTATTAGTTATATATATTCAAAAGATAGAATTAGTTCCTTGTGAGATGATAAGTACCTCATCTCTTGAAATATTCGAGCAAAGATCAAAGGAGTATTTTTAACTTCTGTTAGGTTATGAATCTTTTGAGAATCAGATGGAAGCAAAACTACATGCATATGCATACATGCACACACACACATTTTAATATACACTTTAACCTTTAAGTCAATCAGGTCAAGAGAAAATGAACTAATTGATCTCTTGCAAGGTATAGAGAAGATTGACTGTGAGGTAAAATCAATGATTTCTAATTAGCTTCCAACTTTTCTTCCATTATTCTAATTCTGTGAATAATAAAGTACTAGTCTAATCACTATGTCCCAGCATAAAGAATGGATTGCCAAACTCCTCTCACCATATTGCCATTAATTACTTACGTGTACAGACCTCCTTGAGGTTAAGGTCTTTCTTTTGCTCATCTTGATATCTTTGTCATGGAGCACAAGTTTTACCTAATAAATATTGTGAAATGGCAGCACAGGGAAACCAAAGTAGTATAGCCAGTGTTCCTCTAGCCACAAAGTTTGTTCTTTTTCTTTCCTTCCTTAATTGTGTGATTTCCATCATCACAATCATTACCCATTTGAATTATACCCAAGCTCTCAAGCTGAATTTTGTGTCCTAAATGATTTAATATGCCTATGGTACTCCCAGACATACTATGAAGGAGTTACGTGGAATCAGTTTTAGATTTTGAAATTAGATTTTGATTCCCCCAGTATATTTTCTCCAATAACAGCAACAAAAAGATTTTAATCCTTTGCTTTCTGCTGAGGAGTAGACATTGTGGTGAAATAGACACGCACAAGACTGAAATGGGGATAAATATCCAGACCTTAACTTACTCTGGGTCTTATGATTAACTCCTTTTCTCTCCCTGGGCTTCAGTTTTTTTCAGCTGTAAATAAAAAGATTTGATTGGACCCCAGTGGTGAAGAAGCTTTATTTGGGGCCAGCTCTGATTGTTTGGTTATAACCATGTGGTGCACTGTGTAGAGGGTGATTGTGCATCTGAGTCTGGGCTCAGGGCTGAACAGCACCGTGTTTGAAAAGCAATGTCTGCTGTGGAAGGGGCAGCACATGTACTGTGAAGATGCCAGCCCTGGAATGGACAATCACTGAAGTCCCTTTCAGCTTTTAGGTACTGTGACTAGAGTGCCTTATTTTTCAAACCATTTGCCTTTTTACTGCTCTAAAGTGTCTGAATTTTCCATGTCCTCTTAATGGAGGAGACCAAAGTTAGATAAAGATCTCTTAAAAATTTATCAGATCTATTATGTCATGGTTCCTAAATTCTACACTCCTACTTGTATACCATAATATTTGCTTCTTTAATTACAGAGTTGAAGTGCCAACTCATGATACATAGGACAAATCATATTAATAATAAGTAATTTCCAACTACAGGAAAATATGAAATAAAACAACTCAGCATAACATATTGTATTAGTTTCTTAGGGTTTCTGTAACAAATTACCACAAACTAGGTGGCTAAAGCAACAGAAATTTATTATCTCACAGTCGTGGAAGCTAGAAGTCCAGAATTAAGATGTCAGCAGTGTCATGTTCCTTCTGAGGAACATGACTTCCTTCCTGGCTTCTGGTTGTTTTTGGCAATCGTTGACATCCATGGGCTGATAGATGCATCACTCCAATCTCTAGCTCCATAGTCACATGGGCTTCTTCCCCGTGTGACTGTGTCTCCAGTTCCTCTCCTTATAAGAAAACCAGTCATTGGATTTAGCATTAATCCTAATCCAGTATGACTTCATCTTAAATTTACATCTTCAAAGACCCTACTTCCGAATAAGATCACATTCACATGCACCAAGTGTTAGGACTTCAACATATCTTTTTGAAGAACACAATTCAACCCGCAAGTCAGATCACAGCAACTTCTACACTTGCAAAAAGTAACAAATTATTAAATCATGACAAACATTCGCTTTCTATTTTGCATATCTTGATGATAAAGATCTATAATTATTTAGCTAGAATGGTACCCATAACTTATTGTTGAACAAAAATACTGCACTATAGAATAGTAGGATCTTATTTATAGGATGTCATATAAAATGTCTATACGTTCATACATATATTGAAAGGGACATTTGGATAAAGCAAATATCATTTTTACAAGAAAAATAAGGCTTTAAATTTATAAGCTGATCACAACTAATAACAATAACAGTAACTAAAATTTTACATTGTTTATAATGCTTTATATTTTTCAAAATAATAAAAGCAAAAGTAAAAATAAGCACACCATGTAAAAGACAGTTTTTCTAACATCGATAACAAATAAAAATGGTTTTTGTTTTCGTGTTTAGTCCTTATCCTTCTGAAATCTTTGACTAATCAATGATCAAGGGTGAAAAAAATTGTACCTTCTTCCTCAAAAAGAAAGGAATTCCTTCAGTGGAGTCCAAAGTAACTTTATTCAATAGGCATTTGTGTCTCTTAATATTATGTAAAAGACTCCCTCTGTTACGTTATCACCAACTAGGTTGTGGTAAAGACAGAGATAACATGAGGTATTCAGCCTCAGATGAACCCACAATAATGAAATCAGAAGAGTAGGGCAAAGAAAGGAGCCAGGCCAAACATGAGCCTGGTGGCTGAACAGAGACCCAAGTATGCACTGTCCAGCAAATCTGCAGGAGCATCCCCGGCTGAGAACTGAAATCTGTGGTCAGTGGGGCGTGCAACTTCACTACTTCCACCTGTCTTTTAGTGTGTCATTATTGCAAATTAAATAATTCAGTTGAAAGCTAAAACAATTGCCACCCTGGCTATAGAACCTTTTGACTCCAACATGTGACATACTCAATTGAGTTCTTTTCCACTATAAGTCAGAATATCATGGAGTTCAAACCTAAGTCTCTCAGACCTTCTCTGCCCCATTTAAGAAGGATGAGTGTATAGAATCTGACACAGTTGACTTTTTAACTGCAAAGGAAGGAAGTTTCTTTAAGCCTAAGAAAGCAAAACCATCTGGTATTGCACAGCTGTGGAAATATTGTGTATCTAATTATTTATGGAGGTACCTATGATTTGGTCTTGGTATATCCCAAAAGACTTTGAAAAAGCAGAATTTCATAGTGACTTCAGATCAATAGCTTCTAAATTGTTATTCTGGTTCAAGATTTTTCTCATCAGAGTGAAGAATGGGAAAATCCTGTTTTCATTAAAGAAACACAGAAATGTCATCCTGGTTTATGTAGAGGCATGAGAGAGGGCATGCCTATGTAGCACTGCAGGAAAAGTCATTTTGTGAGTCGTTCCAAAATCTTGGCATTTCAACTCCATCCATCAGAGCAAGCGAAAGAAATACATTTAACAACAAATGAGACATCTAAACACCCAGCTATTTATTGTCTTATATGCTCTACAGGTTGACTACTAAGAAATAATAATCTACCCTTTTAAAACAAAATCATAGAAACATAGAATTTTAGAGTTTAACATTTGAGAGAGATTTCTGTTTCCTGTAAGGGCAGATTAGAGTTTTGTTTTTGTTTTTCTTTGCTTGTATTTTTCCAGACAAATCTTCCTTCTGAATACAAATGGAAAATTAGAAAGATATTTCAAAAATACAAATGTTGAAAGCATCAGAGAGTTTCAAAAACAGTGAGATTTTGAAAACCTGATTCCATGGAGAAAAGGAAAAGAGAGAAAATGAGCTCAACAGTTGGCATGTTGCTTTTACCCTGAAGGCTTTACCCAGTTTACCAGTGGTGGCACAAAAGCTGAAAAGCTGAGGAGAAGCCTCTGTCGGAGAGGATGAGAAGCTGAATGGAGCTTCCAACCACCTTAAGAGGCTGAGGAAGACATAAATTGGAGTTCAGAGTGTACTAAGGAAAAGGAATCCTAATAAATCACCAGGACTTTCAGTTAGTACCCCTGAAAGATTGTTGTGAATCCCTACAAGTAGGGGCGGATCAGATAGACACTGCTGAATCAGCCCTCACAACTACTGAAACTCGGCTTTGAATCAGCTCAATTCCTGGCTAGATTAAGGTGGCATTCTCCTACCCTATCCACCTGTTTGAAATACAAGCAGATCCTCTCTGAAAAAAAAGATAAAAATTATTCAGAACCAAATTTTTCATATATAATGTCTAGCGTTAAATCCCAAATTACCTAGAAGCAAGAGTACTTGACCAAAATCAAGAGAATAACAGACAATATAAACAGATCCACAGAACAGTTATTGGAGTGGTTATGCATGAATTTTTTTAAAACAATGATTAATACTTCCAACAAATTAGATGACAAGTTTAAGAATTTAAGCAGAGAAATGGGAATTATAAAAAAGAATCAAGTGAAAGTTTTAGAACTAGAAATACAATAAGTAAAATTAAGAGCACAATTCGTGGGTCTAACAGCAGGTTAAATAAAGCTGATGAGACGATTCATGAACTGCAAGGTAGGTTAGAAAAATATACAGACAGATGTATAGAGAAACAAATGAATAGAAAATACAGAAATGAGCATAAGAGACATATGGGACACATATGTGTAATTGGAGCCCTCGAAGAAAAAGGAGAGAAAAAATGGAGCAGAGCAACATTTAATGAATTGATTTTCCAAAACTGATAAAGAAACCAAGCCACAGATTTTAGATGTGCTACTAACTCCAACAGGATAAATACAAATAAAAGAACACTTAGGCAGATCATTGTAAAACTGGTGAAAATCAAAGACAAAAATATGTTATAAGCAGCCAGAGGAAAAAAGACAATGCTTCATTCAAAGAAGCAAGTAAACTGACAGATGACTCCATGAAAGAAATAATGGAATCTAGAAAAAAATTGGAATAACTTACTCAAACTTTAGGAATAACCCTACTAGTTATTTAGTCTCACTCTGCCTCACCTTGGTTTAATATAGAGGAAGGAAGTCAAAGGCTCAGGGAGATTAGAATGTTAGAGTGGATTTGTCATTGAAGTCCTACTCACCTCACTGGGAGGGTCCAGAAGACACACCTTTCACTGATACTTTGAGAAATAAATTTGTGAGGGGATCCCCAGCATCCTTAAAGAGCTTCATAATTGCTCTTCTCTGTAGATCAGATCTTACAGTGGAAACCACAGTCACTCAGCTGGAAAATATAAATACAACGGGAGCAATTGGATCCTGGGGTGGTAGGGGCCAAGTGGCAGCACTCAACTGCCAAAGGCAAGATGGGTATAGTCACCATGATGGACAACAAACTCAAAGCAGCAATCAGAATATTCTGATGCATGCAGCCCTGTGGCATGGCTAGTTAATCATGGTGCTCCTAGAAGTAAAATAAGTAGGAAGCTATTAAATTCTTACTTGATCTGTATAAGCAGAAAAGTTCTAGGTCAAGTAAACAGAAATCTAATTCAAATCATAAAAGTAAAGAGTCATGGATCCTCAATCAATTTCCAGACTTGAGCCTGTTTTCAAATCCAGAACCCCTTGAGTGAATGGGAGGCTGGGTCCCCTCTAGGAAGGACCCTAATACACTACTGGAAATTTATACTGTTAATCTTTCTCCCAGCCTTCCCCAAAGGGACCTATGGCCCTTCACCAGAGTAACTGTGCATTGGGATAAAAGAAATAATCAGAACTTTTAGGGACAACTAGACAATGGCTCTGAACTGACATTGATTCCAGGAGATCCAAAATGTCATTGTGACTTTCCAGTCAAAGTAGGGGCTTACGGGAGTCAAGTGATCAACGGAGTTTTAGCTCAGGTCCATCTCTCCGTGGGTCCAATGAGACTCGAATCCTATCCTGTGATTATTTCCCAAGTTCCAGAGCTCATAATTGGGACAGACATACCTAGCAGCTGGAAGAATCTCTTCATTGATTCCCGGACCTGTGGAGTGAGGGCTATTATGGTGGGAAAGGCCAAGAGGGAGCCATTATAACTGCTTCTATTTAGGGAAATAGTAAGTCAAAAGCAACTGCATTCCTGGGTGGATCACACAGATTAGTGCCACCACTGAGGACTTGAAAGATGCAGTAGTGGTGATTCCCACCACATCCCCATTCAACTCTGCTATTTGGACTGTGCAGAATACCATTGGATCTGGCAGAACAGCAGTGGATTATCACAAGCTTAGCCAAGTGGGGACTCTAATTGCAGCTGCTATGCTAAATGTGGTTTCATTACTTGACTCATACCCCTGATGTTCCTACAAATATCATCATATCCCTGATACCTGGTGTGCAGTTATTGATCTGGAAAATGCTTTTTTCTTTATACCTGTCCATAAAGCTCACCAAAAGCAGTTTGCTTTTATCTGGCAAGGCTAACAATACACCCTCACTGTCCTCCCTCAAGGGTATATCAACTCTCTAGCCCTATGTCACAATTTAGTTCACAGGGGTGGAGGTTATGCATGGGCTTAGCAATGTGGACCTCCATTCACCAAGGCCAGGCTGGCTGTGACCACCACCAAGTGCCCAATTTGCCAGCAGCAGAGACCAACACTGAGCCCTCAATATGGCATCACTGCTCGGGATGATCAGGCAGCTACCTGGTGGCAGGTTGATTACATGGGATCACTTCCTCCATGGAATTTGTCCTTACTGGAATAGTCACCTAATCTGCATATGGATTTGCCTTCCCAAAGCAACGCTTCTGCCAAAACTATCACACATGGTCTTATAGAATGCTTTATCCACCATCATGGTATTCCATACATCATTGCTTCAGATCAAGGAACTCATTTCACAGCAAAATAAGTGTGGCTACGGGCACGTACTGATGGAATTCATTGGTCTTACTATGATTCCCACCACCCTGAAGCAGCTAACTTGATAGAATGGTGGAATGGCCTTTTGAAGACAATTACACAGCCAGATAGGTGGTAATACCCAGCCAGTAAGGCTGGGGCAAGGTTCTTCAGAAGGCTTTATATGCTCTAAATCAGCATCCAGTGTATATGGCGCTGTTTCTCCAATAGCCAAAATTCACAGATCCAGGAACCAAAGGGCAGAAACGAGAGCGGCACCACTCATGATTACTTCTAGTGACCTACTCGCAAAATTTTTGCTTCCTCTTCCCAAGACTTTATGCTTTGCTGGCCTAGGGGTCTTAGTTCCAGAGGGAGGAATGCTCCCACCAGGTGACATAACAATGATTCCACTGAACTGAAAGTTAAGACTTACACCTGGCCACTTTGGGCTCCTCATGCCTCTGAATCAACAGGCACGAAAGGGAGTTACTGTGCTGGCTGGGGTGACTGATCCTGACTACCAAATGGAAATTGGACTACTACTCCACAATGGAGGTAAGGAAGAATCTGTCTGGAATACAGGAGACCCCTTAGGGCATCTCTTAGTATTACCATACCCTATGATTAAGAGCAATGAAAAGCTACAAAGACCCAATGCAGGCAAGACGAGCAACAGCCCAGACCCCTCCAAAGGAAGGTTTGAACGAATGACATATTTAAACTGTAGAAATAACCTTACTACTACTTACCACTTTGACTCACTCGTACCTAATGAGAAAATCATATCCAGAGGGGTTAAGCATCTAGCCCAAGATAACAAAGCACACCCAGATCAGAATTTCAGATTGTCCACCAGTCTCCTAGTTTACGTACATTCTTTCCCATTGTCCTGTTCATACAACCACTCAAAGAAAACAAAGAACATTCTGCTCCAACAGAGAAACTACTGTTTTCTGTATATATTCCTTCCAAATATGTATTTTGGCATCCCTCTGAAAAGAATACCCTTTTCAGAACCCAACTGGTAAATTCTGACCAAGCACATTAACTTATCTGAAAACATACAGATTCTATTCTTGCTCTTTACCAAGAATTCTTGCTGGGAAAGTGCCCACTAAAAAAACACCCTAGAGTAAAACCTTCATTGGTTTATTTTAATTGCTATCTTCCCAACTTGTCTAGAAATTGGGTGAGGGGGAGCATCATTATTCTGTGTCTGTGACCCTTTATACAGCTGAATATCTTTCATTCCAATGCCTCAAACAGGACACACCTGCATTTTTAGACGGCCTCAATAGGCCCATTTTTTTAAGAAAAAGTTTTGAATATACAACAAAGGTCTTTTGGTGCATAGGAACCTCCACTTTCCTAAATCATCTATTCCACAGCTCCAGCAGTAGAGATTTATAGGTGTCATTCTTCTTAATGCCACATCAGAAAACGCGGCCTTTCAACATGCACATTTGTGCAATTCAGAACAATGGGGGGTCTCCCTAAATGACTTTCCCTGAATACATTCAGGGATACAAATTGCTCTGTATGAGGAAAGAGATCAGCAATATTTCTCATCTTTCTAAAACATCATTTCCCTTTTTTACCTAATTGAAATAGTTAAAGAGGCTCCAGCAAATAAAATGGAGACAGCTCACATTTCAAAATGTAAAGGTGGTAATACATACTACTGGAACTTTCTGCCAGGTTTACAGGAAAGAACCACAGACTGTAAAGCCTAAGGATTTAATTTGGGGAAAGTGAGAGCATTTTCTCTGTCACTGACTTAGCAGTGCCCTCTGATTCTCTCATGAAATGACCCATCGCGCTCAGGGCACCAAATGAATAGAGAAAAGTATACTCATTTTGCTGCTACTAAATACAGAACTTTCTATCTCTGACTAATGGTTTAAAACTAGTCATTACCTAAAAATAGTCTCATTATTTTCATTAATTGCAGCTCAAAATTTGCCCTTTAAGTAAGGTCCATGAGTAGGCAAGTCTATTTTTGCCATTGTGAATCCCGTACCTTTGTGGTAGCATCTGTTTTAACATCATCTTACTGTGCTAAATATCTCAGTAACCACCCGTGTGCGTGCCAGATGGAGGTGACTGCTCTAACTCGACGTGGTACCTGTCAGCAATCCAACAATCTAAAGGAGTTAAATTACTCCATCTGCTCTTCCAAATTGCCCGGGGAGACTGCCCCTCAAATGTTAATCCTTTTGTTTGTTAATAAACAATAAAAGGACACTTTGTCAATTATGTGACTTGACTGATTCATAATTTGTGCTAACAAATTTCTGTCAATAATGAGCAAATCAGCCAAGAAGCATTTATTAAGTACCCACAATATATATATGTTTTTGTACTAGTTACTATAAGATATTGGAGAAAATAACTATATCGTTTAGAAGGAGAACATACTCAGAGAATAATTCATGGTTCAAGCAGTATTATGCATCATTGCTAACATAATAATACATAAATTACATGATGCTGACAATTAAAGAAAAAACAAATATACAAGGAAAATAAAGTTTTATAAAATAGGAAACGAGCTGAGTTCTCAGAGATTAAAATAAGAAGTGAAAATGATGTGTGTTTTCTTGGGAGTGCAGGTGGGGGGCCACATTTATTTAATTAACAAATGCTTATTAAATGTGAACTACATGCTTTAAACTATGCTAAAGGCAATAGAGGAGAAAAGAGGACTGGGACATAGTTTCTGCCTTCCAAGAGTCTTCATGCTGGTGGAGGTAATTAGACACAATCACAAGCATCTCTAATAAAACAGGGATTAAAAAACTGCCTACTTAAGAGGTGATGTTAAAAATTTTAAAACTTAAAACATTTAAGGTAAGCTATGGAGCAATGCTGCAACAGTAAGACTTGTTCCTTTTGCTAAATATGATATGATATTTCAAATAAAAATAATCAACTAATCTTGCTGATCACCTCCTCCAACAGGTAACTTCAAGGCCCTTAGTATTCTTTACATAGTTCTAGCCTGACTATTTGCTTAACGATTAACTGCAATGATGACAGCTCAGAAATTGTCCTGGTGGAGATTCTTTTAATATGATAGAAATGAACAAAAGCCTTTTTTCAGACATTGTATCTGACAATCCACTGATGGCCAGTAACTATTACAAAGGTGTATTACTGAAGCAGAAGTCTGAGATGGAAGAAGGGCCACTTGAAGCCATTGTGAAAAGAACAGGTGGGCACAAACCAGATGTCTACTAGAGTCTAGATGCCTTTTGAGATCTAAATACAAGCAGTCAAACCCTTATTTTATGCCCTGTGGAGATACAAACCCCTCTCAAGATCATCAGAGAATTTCTTAGGAATTTATATTCTCTTGGTTGTCACCTCTAGTTTAAGCTCCTAAAAGTTTTTAATTAGTTCTATTATAGGGAACACCTCACCACCCTGTTCATGAATCCTGTTTAATTTCATACTTCATTGATCTAAATGTGGAAGTGTTTTCCTTAATTTCCCACAAACCAATCATTCCCATGGGTATCTATATATGGAAAAGACTTGACTATAAATTTGGGATGTCAAGGAATCTGTATGGCCACAGCACAAACAAACCAAAAATGCATGTTTAGACATTCCTGCTGCAAAAGTCACTTGGCCATTTACACAACTAGGATCTTAATCTCCTGCCATGTTATATTCAACTCTCCCCTCACCCCTCTTTTCTTTCCTCGTGCTCCTCACCGCCAAATTTCTGTTTATTTCAAGTTCAGGGTAGTTTGTCATCTTGCTTCTGTCAATCCATGAATTCAGAATTTCCTTCTTTACCTTAAAGTGGCTTATCAGGCACTTTCCTAAACAAAGTCTGTTCCTTCCTTGAGAGGAATTCTGATATCAACCATTAAACTTATAAAATATTTTACCTTGACACAATAACAATTCCCAAAGCTGGCAGAGTAGTGGAGAAAGTGGTAAACTCGCTCATTATTTCCAAATTGTAGAATCAATTTATGCTGCCTCTAGCAATTTAGTAACACATATTAAAAACAGTAATAATGTTTACAGCTTTTGCCCTGAAATCTCACTCTACAGAACTACGCCTACTTCATAGGAAAAACTCAATGCATGATAGCACTTATCATTAGTTATTATTCTAAGGAAATTAAATTTATATTTATTGAATGCACAAAATGCTCTTTATAGCATCATATTCAAACAATTTGGGAACAATGCGTCTAAAAATTGGTGAAAAGTTAAATGCTAACATTTGATAGGCTATAATGCATCCATTAAACATTTCCACGTTGCTATTGGACTCTATCTCTATCATCTCATAAAATTTTTGTGAAAAATATTTTCAGAAAACAATGTAATATTTAAACTGCGATTGAAATTATGCAATAAATATGTACATGGATAAAAATTGGAAGAAATCATGAACTAAAGAAAAATAAAATATGTTACAGCAATGTCTATTTTAAAATTCCTTTTTATCATTTCCAGAAGCTCCAAAGTAGATAGACAATCCCGTCTCAGTGAAGGTTGAGTGATAGGCCAGTCAGGACACGAATTTCATGACCTGATGCTCCAGGGCCAGTCACCCAGCAATTCCGGGACCTTCTCCCTCCTCCCCAGGATCAGCTTACAGCCCTCTTGGACAGAAGGGCTTCTTCCTTCTCCCCGTACTTGCTTTTCTTCCTCCCCCTCACATTTTGAAACTTGTAGTTTCCAACTGCTGTGACTTCTACCACCATCACTACTAAATCTGCGGTAAACAAGAACAACAACAACAATAATAAGGATAACAGATATACCAACAATTGAGCCTCTGCCATAGGCCAGGCATTGTACTAGCTATTTATTGAACTATAGTTGCTAATAGATTGGTAGATATTCTTAAGAAAATGATAGCTTGTGGAATCAATCCAGGGACAATTTTGTATCTTTCTCTACCTGAGAGTCAGCTCTGCGCTGTTAGCTCTTACAGGAACTGCAACTGGCAATAAACAGGCTGAGTAGGGCTTGCAGAAGCTCTTTTATTTGGCTTGGTTTTGTTGTTGGGTTTTAAGTATAAAAAGACTTTGGTCATAACAAGCCTCTCTAGGCTGCCAGAGTACCTCCCTCTCCATATTGTCTCACACTCAGCATCATACAGTTATGTTACCTGTTTGGCTCTTTAAGGCATTTGTATTTTCCCACCATTTTACTCCAGAGTGAAAATATCTTTATGCTGGATATTTTAAGCCTTTGGTGCAGCAGATACATTGATTATGTGTATCCATGATTAGACTTGGGAGCCCAAGGAACTGAGAAAAATGAACAGAACAAGAATCTTTTGTAATTTAGTGGTTGTCTTTTACCCTTGGAGAACCTCTGTAACTCAGCCGAGTATCTCTAGAGACAATTTTTCCTCTTGGCAGGACCACGAAGGTAATTTGAAGATCCCAGTGCAAAATGACTATATGACGCTTCCTGTTTCAGAAAAATGGAAAGAGGGGGGAGATGGAAAAAAATATTTGAGCAAATAATGGTCAAAATTTTTAAAAATTTGATGAAAATTATAAGCCCACAGATACAATAAGCTCAATGAACACTACACATTTGAAAAATGATGAAAAGCATAACACAGTACATTATAATTAAATTGCTTGAAATTGATGATAAAGGCAAAATCTTAAAATTAGCCAGAGAAAAAGACATATTGCATACAGAGGAATAAATATAAGAATGACAGATTTCCCACCAACATACAGTATGAAACCAAAGACAGTGAAGCGATATCGTTAAAGTAATGGAAGAAATTAACCGTAACCTGGAATTCTATACCCAGTGAAAACATATTTCAAAATGATGCCATTTGTGACAACATGGATGGACCTTGAGGGTATTATGCTAAGCGAAATAAATCAGAGAGAGAAAGTCAAATACCATATGATCTCACTCATAAGTAGAAAATAAAAACAACAACAATCACATAGAGACAGAGATTGGATTGGTGGTTACCAGAGGGAAAGAGGGGAGGGAGGAGGGTGAAAGGGGTGATTAGGCACATGTGTGTGGCCATGGATTGTAATTAGTCTTTGGGTGGTGAACATGATGTCATCTACACAGGAATCAAAATATAATGATGTACACCTGAAATTTATATAATGTTATAAATCAACGTTACCACAATAAAAAATAAATAAATACAAAAAAAGATGTCAAAATAAGACTTTTTCAGACATAAAAATGGATGAAAAATATTCATCACCAGCAGACCTACCCTGCAAAAGGGAAATGACACCAGATAGGAGTCTTGAACTAAACAAGGGAATGAAGAATAGCAGAAATGATAAATATATGGGTAAATATAAAACACAATTTTCTAATTTCTTTAAAAGATAATTGATGGCCTAAAAAAATAATAACCATGTACTGTGGGGTCTATATAGATGAACAGGTAAAATAACACAAATAGCACAGAGGCTGGGAAGAAGACAGTGAAAGCATTCTGCTGAAGGATCTTTTACTGCACATGAAGTGGCATAATATTGCTTGAAGTCAGACTTTGATATATTAAATCCTAAACCCCAAACCCCACTGCAACTGAACACACACACACTATACCTAATAAGCAGATGAGAGAAAAAATGGAATCATAAAAAAATAATCAAAATGAAGGCAAAAAAAGAGAAGAAACTATAGAGGGACAAATACAAAACAAATAATAAGATGACAGATTTAAAAGCAACTATTCAGCAACTATTTTAGATATGAATGGTCTGAATACTACAATTAAAAGGCAGTGATTACCAGATTGGATTAAAAAAATAAACAAGACCCAACTGTATGCTGTCTACAAGAAATGCTCTTTAAATGTAGACTCTAATAGATTAAAAGTAAAATTCTGAATGTAGACAGACCATACTAACACTAATCAAAAGAAAGCTGATGTGGCTATATTAATATAAGGCAAAGTAAATTCCAGACCAAAGAATATTACCAGAAGGAATAAGGTTATTTCATAATGATAAAAAGTTCAATTCATCATAAAGAATAAGAATCCTAAATATTTAAGTACCAAATCATAGATCTTCAAAATACATGAGGCAAAAACTGATGAAACTGCAAGAAAAAAATAGATAAACCCATAATTTTTGTTAGAGATTTTACCATCCCCTCACATCCTTTTTTAGGGCATGCAGAACATATATCAAGATAGACTACTTTCTGGGCCATAAAACAAGTATCAATAACTTTAAAAGGTTTCAAATCTTAAAAATTATGTTCTCTGACTACAGTGGAATTCAATTGGAAATCAATAACAGAATATATCTGGAAAATCTCCACATATTTGGAAACTTAATGACAAACTTACATAAACCATGGGTCAAAGAAAAAATCAAAATGGAATTTAGAAACTATTTAGAGCTAAACAAAAATGAAAACGTATTAACATTTGTGAGATTAGACTAAAGCAACATTTGGAGTGATATCTATAGTTCAAAATGGCTATATAAAGAAAGAAAAGTATTCTCAAATCAATTACCTCCACATCTACCTTGGAACCTAGAAAAGAAATTAAAAGCAAAGTAAGCAGAAAAAAAGGAAATACTAAAAGTAAAGACAAAAACCAATGAAATCAAAACACAAAAATAGAGAAAAATTTATGAAACTAAAAGCTTATTACATGAGAAAATCAATAAAATTGATAACCTTTAGCCAAACTGATCAGAAAGATAAATTACTAATAACAAGGGTGAGAGGGGATATCACTCCAAATTCTACATATATTAAAGTAAAAATAAGGGAATATTATGAGTAACTTTAGGCCAATAATTTTGACAAACAGATGAAATGGACAAAGTCCTTGAAAATCTCAAACTACCAAACCTTGCTTAAGTAGAAAAAGGTAAATAGTCCTTTATCTATTTAAGAAATTGAATTCATAGTTAAAAACCTTTTCACAAAAAAAAGCTCCTGGTCCAGATAGCTTAACTACCAAACATTTAAGGAAGAAACAATACCAATTCTATACAAAAACTTTCAGAAAATTAAAGAAGGAATAATTCCTGAGTAATTCTATGAGGTCAGCTTTACTCTGATACCAAAAGCAGAAAAAGATATGACAATACAAGAAAGCTACAGTCCAATATCCCTCATAAACTCTTGTATTATGTATAAACTCTTAAGAAATATATTAAAAGCATAACCTATCATTACCAAGTGAGATTTATTGCAGGAATGCAAAGTTGGTTTAATGTTCAAAAATTGATCAATATACGGGGCCAGCCCCGTGGCCAAGTGGTTGGGTTCCCACACTCTGCTGCAGCGGCCCAGGTTCTGATCCTGGGCGCGGACGTGGCACTGCTCGCCAAGTCACGTTGAGGCGGCGTCTCACATGCCACAACTAGAAGGACCCACAACTAAGATATACAACTACATATTGGGGGGGGGGGGGTGGTTGGGGAGATAAAGCAGGAAAAAAAAATTAATCAATATAATTAGCCAAATCAACCAACTAAAAAAGGAAAACCATGTGATCATTTCAGTAGATGCATAAAAAGCATTTTACAAAATCCAACATCCATTCCTGATAAAACCTCTCAGCCAATTGGGAATAGAAGGGCATTTCCTCAACCTAATAAAAGGTGTGTATGGAAAATCTACAGCTAAAATTAAAGATTTAGGAACAAGAATATCCATTATCGACACTTCTGTTCACCATTATAATGAAGGTTCTAGTGAGTGCTTTAGGCAAAACTACATACACACACACACGTAATAAATGGCATACATAAATAAATGACATCCAGATTGGAAAGGAAGTCATATTTGTTTGCAGATGACATGATTATGAAGAAAATTCTGTAAAATTTACCAAAAAAGATATTCGAACTAACAAGTGAGTTTAGCAAGGTTGAAAGATCAGTGTATAAAAATACGTTGCATTTCTATATCTTATGAGGAAACAAGCAGAAATTAAAATTTTAAAAATATATTTTACAGTAGCACAAAAAATTAAGGAAATTTTGAAAAGAGATTTGTAAGATCAGTACATTAAAAACTACAAAATGATACTGTTTTCTATGTTTTTGCTAGACTTTGCTGGTCCACACACAATTTCTTGACCAGCCTTCTTACTTCTGTCTGCAGGAACAAGGGAAACAGAAAAGGCTATCATCCAGGTCTCCAAAAGACCATTCTGACCTGACTAGCTAGCGCCCTCCGTGATGGATTGAACTGACTTGCTCCAGAAATGGTTTCACATGGCACAAAGTAATAATATTGTTGGGCATCAGCGGCAGCAACGTCATATCCTCAACTTTTGAGAAAACCTCTTCTCTGGGTTTTGCAGATGTCCTATTTCTAAGTAAAAATAATTTGCCAACCATCAAGTGGATTGAAACATTATTCTTTTCCCATGACGAGAACAGGAATGTTGTATTCATTTTCCAAACATGAGGCTTAAGGAAGGCATATTTGAACTACTCAGCTCTTTTCCAATGGTTTTGTTTATTTAAAAGAAGATCTATTGGGAAGAAAACATTTATATAATTTCGGAATTCCACACTCCAGGGCTTTTCTCATAACCGGGCCAATGCCTTTAGGCTGTAGACCTAGAATCATTGTTAACTGCTCCCTCAAGATTGGCCTCATGCAAGTTTTTCTCAGACGCATTCTCAACGGTTTCATTCACTTTAACAGACATAAAGCAGAAGAATACTTAAGGAAAACATTACAAATGCATTATTAATAAGTAATGACCAGAGGTTTTTCTCTTAATAAATTATCATAAAGCTTTCTGAGGCAGAATAAAAAGCCACATGTGAATGGCTTTACATATTTCTACCTATGGATATTTTGTAATCGATTATAATAGCATTATATACCTCATTTCTGCCATAATATATTCAATTACACATTTAACATTTCCTGCGAACCTTTTCAAATACAGGAAAGCAAACCCCACCTACCTGATTGGTATATTTGTCTCCTGCATGTGCTATTCTCATTATCGTTAATTCAAGTGGACATTTGCTTTCTGTGGTTACATTGCTAGGTAACCAGTTATGCACCTGATTTGCGGATGCATTTAAACTCCTATGCCTCAGGGCATTGATTCATACATATTGTTGTCATTATACTTCATCTTAACAATTTCTCTCTCCCAACAGTCTCATAAAGTAGGTTGGTACAACTACCCCCTTTTATAGGAACCCAGAGACATTACCACTACATTTCTGGGTGAATTTGTGCCAGTCAGAAGTGTCTTAGCGCATATGGTTCTAACCTATTGCATATCCCAAACCTACCCCACCTCCCAGGAGAGCCACAACATCGTGGGCTGTTACAACAAACAGTTAAAAAGTAGATACCATTTTGAAAAGTACATTTGTAATAGAGGTCATTAATAATTAGCAGTCCTAAGTAATTATAATACTACTGAGGATAAGGGACCTTCTCCAAATATATTGTTCTTTCCTAATTAACTTGAGTCATCACGGAGTAGGAGAAACTTAAAGAATATAGACTACCTGGTATAAGGTTTAAATTT